CCCAGCTACTTAAAACGATACTTTTTTGTATTTGTGTTCTTTTAATTTTCCAGGGCCCTCTCGTTCATGGGAATGAGTATCTGTCTGGCTCTGATGTTCATTTCTTCCTGGTATTATGCCATTGTAGCTATGGTAATAGCTGGTATGATCTACAAGTACATTGAGTACCAAGGGTGAGTATGAATTTGACCTTGATCTTTGATACCTGTGAAAAATAGCAAGACTAGCCAGTTTGGTTAGGGCCAGCTCAATGAAAATTATATTAATGACCCAAGTAACTTTATTTGTTTATATCTAAATTTTGCACCCCTAATTGTTCTTAACCACCTTATAGATGCAAGCTTTTTTCATTACAAGAGAAACTTGTGGAAAAAGTATGAAGTGAATGAATCAATGAAAAATAAGTGGCTCAGTGAGTAGGCACCAGCCCCATATACCAAAGGTGGCGGGTTCAAACCTGGCCCTGGCCAAACAAAAAATAGCCGGGCATTGTGGCGGGCGCTTGTAGTCCCAGCTACTCGGGAGGCTGAGGCAAGGGAATCACCTAAGCCCAAGAGCTGGAGGTAGCTGTGAGCTATGATGCCACGGCACTCTAGCAAGGGCAACAAAGTGAGATGCTTTTGCTAAAAAGAAAAAAAAAAAGACCATACCCAAATAATAATAGTTATGATCAGCACTAAACAAAGTTTAACCCAATTTTTTTTTTTTATTGAGATAGTCTCACTTTGTCATCCTCGGTATAGTACTGTGGCATCATAGAGCAACCTCATACTCTTGGGCTCAAGCAATCGTCTTGCCTCAGCTTCCCATTTAGCTGGGACTACAGGTGCCCGTGACAACACCTGGCTATTTTTAGAGACGGGGTCTCACTCTTGCTCAGGCTGGTCTCAAACTCCTGAGCTCAGGTGATCCACCTGCCTCAGCTTCACAGAGTGCTAAAATTACAGGCGGGAGCCACCGTGGCCAGCCAGATAAAAATACATTAGCTGATTTCTTCAGTCAAAGGATTAACTGAAATGAAGAAGAAAATTAGTCCTGAATAACTTTAACAACCTCACTACCACCTTCCAGAAATGAGGAATAAGTAACATCCTGATTCTGAAGATAATACTGACTTACACTTGTTCCTCATTATTGTCAGAATGACTTAAACTCTGGGTCTGTAATAATTTTCTAATCCAATTTTCTATGTTATACTATTGCTTTTGAACTGTTCCATAGAAGTACCAAGTGAGGGCAGCACCTGTAGCTCATATACCGAGGACGCTGGCCCCATATACTGAGGGTGGCAGGTTCAAACCCAGCCCTGGCCAAATTGCAACAAAAATAAATAGCCGGGGATTGTGGCAGGCACCTGTAGTTCCAGCTGCTTGGAAGGCTGAGGCAAGAGAATCACCTAAATCCAGGAGTTGGAGGTTGCTGTGAGTTGTGACACCATGTCACTCTACCAAGGGTGACAAAGTGAGACTCTGTCTCTAAAAAATAAAATAAAATAAAATAAAAAAGAAGTGCCAAGTGAATGACTCTATCAGATTGTATTCTGAACTGTTTCTGCAGGGCAATCTGTTGGTGCAGGGTGGTGTTGATCTGCCAGAAGTGGGTTCATTATGTCGAGCATTATATAAATCACTAATCTGACTACTTTGTGTATATGTTACTTTTAGGTTCAGAAAAATAAACTTTGTTTTTTGAAATTATACTTAACTAGGCTCGGCGCCTATACCTCAACTGGCTAAGGCGCCAGCCATGTACACCTAAGGTGGCGGGTTCGAGTCCCCAGCCCGGACCCGCCAAACAACAATGACGGCTGCAACCAAAAAATAGCCGGGCGTTGTGGCGGGCGCCTGTGGTCCCAGCTACTTGGGAGGCGGAGGCAGGAGACTCGCTTGAGCCCAGGAGTTGGAGGTTGCTGTGAGCTGTAATGCCATGGCACTCTACCCAGGGGGACAGCGTGAGGCTCTGTCTCAAAAAAAAAAAAAAAAAGAAAGAAAGAAATTATACTTAACTATAATTCAAATCTGTCTCTGCTCTATTCTCTTTTTCTCCCAGAGCTGAGAAAGAATGGGGTGATGGTATCCGAGGGCTGTCCCTCAGTGCAGCCCGGTTTGCTTTGCTTCGGCTGGAAGAAGGACCTCCACACACTAAAAACTGGAGGTAAAGAAACAACACTAGTGGGGTTTGGCACATAGTTAACATACGTAAATATGTGCTTCTCTAGTTAGGAAGGAAGGGGATCATGTGCCCCAAGGAATTGGTATAATGGACCTGTTTGAACTATTTAAAATCCTTGATTTCTTTATTTTCTTTTCTTCATGTAATTTATGATCTAGATTGCTTCCATTCGGAGACTGATCAACTTGAGATAATACTGGGAGCATTCATAATAACCCAGTACTCTCATCCTACTGTTTCCTCTGATCTCTTCCTTCTGTCAAATTACATGTTTTATATGTATAGATCTCCCAAATTAAAGGGTAGATTTGTCATTCTGTTCTCCAAACCCAAAATGTTTTTTCCCCTCCACCCCCACCAACCTCTTAACAGGCCTCAATTGCTTGTATTACTGAAACTAGATGAAGACTTACATGTCAAGCATCCTCGCCTCCTCACATTTGCCTCACAGCTCAAAGCAGGAAAGGGTCTTACTATTGTGGGCTCTGTCATCGTGGGGAACTTCCTAGAGAACTATGGTGAAGCCTTAGCTGCTGAGCAGGTAAGAGTCAAAACTTATACAGAAGAACTTAGTTTATACCTCTGTGATGTTAATAACAGTAGAACCTCCATAGTTGACCACCTTAAGTCAACCTAATTTTCATAGACCAGACATGCACCATATGTACAGATCAGTACAGGCCTATTTCCTTATGTTGACCACCTCTGTATGCTGACCAGTTTCTTTCTTTTTTTTTTTTTTTGAAACGGAGCCTCAAGCTATCCCCCTGGGTAGAGTGCCATGGCATCATGCTCACAGCAACCTCCAACTCCTGGGCTCAAGCGAGTCTCCT